AAAGCAACTGGGAGCCAGTGGAGAGAGCAGAGAACCGGAGTGATGTGGTCTCTTTTTTTTGAACCGGTCAACAGGCGAGCGGCAGCGTTCTGCACCAGTTGAAGGCGATGTAGACAGGACCTGGACCTGACCAAGAGGGGCCAATCATCATGGAGCTGACCAAGAGGGGCCAATCATCATGGAGCTGACCAAGAGGGGCCAATCATCATGGAGCTGACCAAGAGGGGCCAATCGTCATGGAGCTGACCAAGAGGGGCCAATCATCATGGAGCTGACCAAGAGGGGCCAATCGACATGGAGCTGACCAAGAGGGGCCAATCGTCATGGAGCTGACCAAGAGGGGCCAATCGTCATGGAGCTGACCAAGAGGGGCCAATCGTCATGGAGATGACCAAGAAGAGCCAATCGTCATGGACATGACCAAGAGGGGCCAATCGTCATGGAGATGACCAAGAAGAGCCAATCGTCATGGAGCTGACCAAGAAGAGCCAATCGTCATGGACCTGACCAAGAGGGGCCAATCATCATGGAGCTGACCAAGAGGGGCCAATCATCATGGAGCTGACCAAGATAAACTTTCCAGATCGCCCACATGAGATATGTATCCTCCATTCTGGGTCTACCTACATGTGCTGGTTTTGTTTTGGTATCAAGCATACTAGGTTTGACATTAAGCACCCCCCAGCTGACCTCTGTGCTGACCTCTTCTACCTCGGGGTGTCCAAGGACCGGGTTGTCTGGGGTAGCAGCAGCCGTTGGTGTTGTGTATTACTGTACAATAAAAAGTACTTCGAGGCAATGAAACTGAATTAAAAGTGAAATGCTGAGGAGGAAGTCAGTCTCAGGACCAGAGCCAGACTCCAAGCCAAAACAAACAACCTCCAGCTGGAAAACTCGTCCACATTTCCAGTTGGCTGTGATGTCATGAGCAGCAGGTAGAGATCAGTTTGTAAAAATGTTTAAAGTTCACCACAAGAAGTGTCAGTGGCCTGACTACTTCCTGAAATGTAACTACACACTGCAGTCTTCGAGAGGACTCACTTTACTTTACGTGTGAAAAGCTTGTGTGTGTTTCAGTTACAGGTTCAGCAAAGAGCAGGAATCCTGACACCGCGGGGTTTACACCCAAATAACTTGTCAGACGTGTCGGCCGAACGCACACGCTGTGACTGAGGGGCACATACATCATGCTGTTACGCAATCAGCCGCCAGCAGCCGGTTTATCTCTGCATGTGGGCGCGCACGATTGGTTACGCTAACAGCAACAGCAGAAACAGACCCCGAGGGAAAAACCAGAGAGGGTTAAACCTGCGTGTCTTCCGCATTCCTCACCTGGACACCTCGCAATTAGTGCTGAAGATGCAGAGACACAAAACAGAGCTGTTAACCGCACAGCTGCAAAGATGCATGAGTGCATTTAAACATGGTAAATCTCACCTTACCCCACACACACACAGACACACACACACAGGAGCTACAGCAAACAGCATTCCACAGCCGTTTGCCTGCAGGGATAGACTTTTTCAGTGTCAGACAATGAATCCTTGTTCCTCTCTCACTCTGTGACACACTTTTTCACTTACACACACTTAAATACTCGGCTTCTCCTTTTTCTCACCCAGGCACGCCCCCCCCACACACACACTAGCACACAACAGCGCCGGCAGAGCAGCAGAAAAGGAGAAGGTAACTGGAGAAAAATAAAAGGTCATGTGGTTGTAAATCAAACACAGGACAGGCTGAGTTTGAGCGGGACTCTGGGAGCGGCGAGAAAACTCGGAGCTCTGTTTGACCTCGGTAACAGGTTTGTGATAAATTAAATTAGCCCGCTTCCTCGTTGTCCAAGGCTCGGCGGTGCGCTGCGTTTGCATTACACAATTAACTGAACAGCTGCCAAACGCACTGACACACTGAAAGCTTTGACGAGAGTGACGTCAGCTCTTTTCTCGCGTCTTACGGCACGGCATAATTACCTCGCAGCGCATCTCCGTTGGCCACATCGCACTCAATGAACGTGCAGTTTCCTTCTCCGAACTCGGCGTCCAGCTGGGCCTTGCACTCCTCACCGAGGTCCTTGTTCAGGTCCACCATGGCCACCTGCAGAACAGAACTTTGAGATGGACTCTGCAGCACTTTGGTTACAGTGCAACACTTACTTTGCTCAGCAGACTATATTAGTTCTGTGGTTTCACAACTGTGCAGCTCAGACGGAAACAAACATTCATTTACTTAAACAGATGGCAAAGGAAGTTCCGAGAAATGACTGATCTCTCTGAAACGCCCGTGCTGCTGCAGAGAAGCGAGTCTTTCACAATGATTTCATTACAGATTAACCTGGATTAACCACAGACTCACCTTTGAAACCCTGCTCCTGTTAAAAAAACAAGTCAAACACTGAAGAAAAAAAGCTTTTGAGGTGAAAAGATGAAAAACACAACAGATCGAAGGAAACTAAAAGCTGCAAGCAAAAGTTGCAGCAGTACCGACCTTGGCTGAGCTCTGCAGCAGTGACTGGACCACAGCTCTGCCGATGCCCTGAGCACCCCCCGTCACCAGAGCCACCTTCCCATTCAGAGACATGCTCCCAGTACAGCTGCACTCTTCCTCCTTCTTCTTCTCTCGGTGACTGTTCTTCTCTTCCTCTCCTGCTCTGCGTCTTCCTGCACCTTTCTGCTCTCTCTCCAACTCAATCACATGTTTTCTCACCGCTCTGTTTTTATTCTTTTGGCTAAGCTGTTTTCCCCTCCTCCTCCTCCCCCCCCTCCCCCCTCGCCTTATCAGTCTATACAAACACTGCATGTGTGTGAGAGAGCGAGAGAGGGAGAGGTTAAGTAAACTCCGTAGAATAATAATTACAGGTTTAATCCAACTTGTTGTACCTGCCCTCCCGGCTCCTCCTCCACGCCCTTTCTTCTCCTCCCCTCCTCCTGTTTGATCAGCACACCTGAGCTCCTGAAATGTGTTGCTGTTTATATAAAGTCTGCATTTCAGGACATGTCAGAGACAAAACCTCAGACAGCAGCTTCTTTAAAGAGCTGTCAGTCTCTCATTGTTCTTCCTCACCGTTGGTTTTTCTCCTGCGAGGCTTAAGTGGCGTTACACAACAGCGGCAGCGCAGTTCGGGGATACGTTACAGCGAGCTTCAGGTCTCTGCACGTCCACTCTCACACTGAATGGGAACCAGCAGCTGATAATGACCAAATATGTGAAAATACCACCCGCTCCAGTGTGTTTTCCTTCTATTCTTTAAAAATAATAAAGACACATGAGGAAAGGAAAAGCTGTTGTATCTTCATGAACTTCACTATTTATATTCTGCACACTTTAGATCGAGGAACATCACTACGCTTCCGTTCCTCTGACTTCCTGTACACGCTCTCTTCCTTTGACCTTCTTATTGTACATCCTTCCTTCATTCTTGGATCTGGAGATGATCTGCAGCGTGTTCAGCAGGCGCTCTTTAGATTTCTAGGATCTCCGAGGACCTGAAACAGCAGCAGAGGCAATATTTTGTGTGCCAGGTGAGGCCAGCCTGGACCGGACGGCAAACATCACAGGAAGTGAGGTCGCTGTGCACAAACTGGATAATAAAGATGGACACATGTTCCTCCTGCTCTGCTCTCCTAAACCTGCATTCTTGTTGGTGGCCAGCAGGTGGCGACAGCAGAAACGGGAGATATTAATGCACCTTTAGGAAATCATTTGTGTTGTAGTGATAAAGCTAAAGTGAAGCGAGTTAAGTCTGTGTATGCACTTACAAATACAACAGTACATGCACAGTAATACAAGGAATCAGCAACAACACGACATAAACAATAATAACAACGATGCGTGTATACATGTTAGTATGTAGCTCCTCCTTAATGGAGGTGAACAAAGCTTAAGCTTTGAATCAGGGCGACTGTGTCACAGACGAAGTCTGTGCAGGATTTTAAACTGTTGTTTTTTCCCAGATAGTTGAAGTCCTCCCAAATCCTTCGCCCCGGTCTGTCTGTACAACAAAGATCTGCTTTGTTAATGTCAGAGACGTCGACACTGTTGCAGAGACATTTCGAGATATCTTAAAGCTTTTGCTCAGCTTGATGAAAGTCCAGTAGCTCCTCGTTCTCCAGTCGGTTTCACATTTCAGACACACTGATGATTCAATATGAACCCAAACTGAGGAGGTCTTATGTTTCCATACAGGTATGTCTAAAAGAGCAATGAGCTCATAATATCCACAAGATCCAGTCCTCACGAATTCCAAAAGGAAGAACTAAACCTTCAGTTATTATTCGAGTGGACAGGAATCATCCTCTTTGGGGACCATTCATCTCAATGGACTCCTGTCTAACGAGCATATATCCCTATAGAGCTTCTCTAATCGTATCCAATAGTGGACTAAAATTAGCCTTCGTTATCAGATAACAGTGAGGTGGTATAAACACACTAAAGTAGGCGAAACACGAGAGAGAACATTTAAAGGGGAGCATGTAAAAGACAAAGTGTGAGACAAAAATAATAAATCGAGTAATTCTGAGATTATTTTATGAAATTTCTGACTGATTATAATCGCAGACGCTCTGGGCTCTGATTGATCGTCTCTGGATCTTAAAGTCTTTTGAGGCTTTTTGAGCTACAGGTGCTGCAGAGCCCTCATGAAGAACTTTAACCTTTTAAAACCGGAGCGCGGTCCATCTGAGTTCCTCTTTGCGACGTGCAGAAAGCACGTTTGTCTCTTACGGTTACTAGAAACAAGAAACAGCAGACCATCGTTGTTAAGAAGTGGCTCCCAAGTTTATTTTAGTCTGAGAGAGTTTCATGTAAAATATGCACAGCTTATTTTACAAAAACGTGTGTGTGTGTGCGTGCGCTCTGAACTGGAATGTAGAAGGAATGCTTGACGGATGTTCAACGACTACAAGGATGCGGTGATGAAATAAAACCTGTCAGACCCGAAGCGGCTCTGACGTGATGGCAGTCGGCTTTGTTTTTACAGTGCAGTGAACAAAGAGTCGCAGTACGCACACAGCTCGACAACTTTATGTCCACAAATTGACACGTTCACCACAGCGCAAGTAGAAATACAAACACAACAGATGCAAAATTAATGGCTGTGAAATTATTTTCTTCGTATCCAGATGCAGCGAGGGACCTCGGGGCTCCAGAGCCGAGCTGGATTCAGACAGTCTGTATGAGCCGCTCGGCCCATAAAACAGAAGCAAAAAGAACAAAGCACACAGATCCAGATACACATCGATATGAACGTTTAAAGATTTTAAACCTTATTTGTGTTTCAAAGAAATGAATAACCTCGGACCGACAACACAAATGTACAGTGTGTGTGTGTGTGTCACAGAGTGAAAACAGTGCTGTAAACTCATCCAGAGTGACGGACATGTGACCGACTGCTCCAACAGAAGTAAACATCTACACAGGCTGCAGTTCCTCTAACGTCCAGCAGAGGCTCCGGCAGTGAGTCCGCAGAAACACGTTCTCCTCCTGATAGGCCGAGGACACAGGCGGCTTTAGCTGCTAGCTGTCTGCTAGGCTTCACCTGAACTGACCTCTGGACAGTGTTTGTGCTGTTTTAATGATTATCTGACCATCAAATGTCAGCTGTGAGGTTACTGTCCAACAAGTCTGAACAGTTTTACTGAGTGAAATTCCAGGTTTTTAATGTGATTTTAGTGATCAGCTGGTATTTGTTGCCTGTGGATGCAGACTGCTAACCAGGCTGGCTAGCATTAGCTAATAACTTTCTCCTGTAAGTACGGTGACTTCTGGCTCTAAAAACATTTGGCAGTGTTACAAAATCCATCTTTTCTATACAGGCTGTGACACGTAGCTAAACATGGTCTTTTTAACAGAACAGACGAGGCCGCTTTAAGTTAATGTAATGGATGATGTAACGAATTATCTTTCACAGCTGGGCCCACGTCCTCATGTAAGTTTGGTAGCGTTTTAGCAGGTAAAAGTGATGCTTTGACATGAATTGAGCTGCGGTTTGGGGAAGGCCTCGAAGGGGACTGGCGAAGGCTCCCGGGCGGATCCCCGTGGACGAAATAGAAGTGAAGAAGCTAAAGAGTGGAGAACAAGGAGGGAGGGGCATGTAAACGAGAATGATCGGCTTGCAGAACTGGGGGAACCGATATAGGTGACAGCCGGAGAAGCGTGTTTGGAGGCGTGGTCCCGCTCCTGAAATTCCGATACATCAGTCATCTGTCAGTGCGGCCCAGGGCGGCTGTGGCTACAACGTAGCTGCCATTGCCAGTGTGTGAATGTGTGGATGACTGAATGTAGTGTGGAGCGCTTTGGGGTCCTTAGAGACTGAGTAAAGCGCTATACAAATGCAGGCCATTTACCATAATCTCCAATACAAAAAGTAAAGATGATGTAATAGATTACACACCTGTTACGTCACAGTGTCATCTCCCTGTGCCACAGCCTTTCTTTCCAGGCCGACTCTGAACCTGAGCTGCTAAATCTGAACTTATTTCACTCTCTGAAAATCAGCTGATTGAAACACATGCTGCATAAAATTGACCAAAAACACAAAATCAAAGCACATAAAGCAGCAACGCAACTGGGACATCATCAAAACAAGTAGATTTCCACACCGACTGTGTCCTAACGCTATACCAAGCAGTAATCAGCACATCTGACTGTGGACTAAGACGATGGACACGAGCACAGAAATGAGAGACATGACGCAAACGTGCACAGTCAGGATGTGATGCAGAGTCTGCACACAGCTGCAGACGGCCGGCTGTTTTCATCACAACTATGCAAATATTTCTGGGAGGGAAACACTGATGTAAATAACGCAGCAACGGCGTCGTGTTAAGCTAACTGAACATCCTTCCAGGAAACAGTTTGGACAAACGTGGCCTGAGCGTGAAGCTGGTTCAACAGGAGTGCTGCACACAGCACAGAGGAGAGCAGCGTGCGACTGTGCCGCCATCACATTCTGTTCGCTTTAAACAAACAAAGATTTCTCAAAAACAAATAAAAGGGCTAAACTGGCATCACAGCTGGAACAGGCTGACCACGACTACCCGAGTCCTGTTGAACAGAAGACACCTGAACAACGTTTGGTTAATCTCGCCTCCTCACCTCGTTGCAGAGTCCTCAAACCTGGAGCCTTCTCCCTGCGCTGCTGCAGCGATTACATCACTGTGACACAGTGTCAGTGAACTTTGTGCAGAAAATGAGGTTTCATTATTAGGAAACTGGCTAAACGTGCCAAATGACTGCAGCAGGATATAAAAGGAGATGACTGAATGCTGCAGCTCCCCCCTCACTGCTCATGTCAGCAGCTGAAAGTAATTAAAGTTACCACACTGCTTCCTAGAAAACACAACAAAATTCCAAAGAAAGTCCGTGAACGGTCAAAGTGACGTAAGCCAGCAGTAATTCATCCCAAAAACAAGCAAAGCAGAGAATCGCTGCGTTTCAGACCTGAACTAAAGTCACAAAGCTGAAGCGACTGACTGCACCTCACACTTTCTCCAAATGAATTTCAAATGTCAAAACTCTGTCGCACAAAAAATGAAAATGAAGACTGGAAATGTGATGAACCTGGGTCTAGCTGCTCGCATGTTCTTAAAGGGAGTGAGTGTGAGCTTCCAGTGGGACTGTGCGCCGCCGCCGCCGCAGTGTGGGACGGCCACTCCCGACATACGCAGTGAGGTTTGAGTGTGTGGGTCGTGTAAGCATGTATGACACATCTGTAATGAAACATCAGGGCGTTGTCAGCGTGTCAGGGAGGAAATCAGTGCAGAAAGGACAACTCTCACAATGGGTGCATCGAACCTGACTCACACAGATCCCATGATGCTGAGTAACAGAAAGCTGCAAAAATGCACAGCTTTTGTTTGGCTGTTCTTTCTTTTGCAAGCGTCACTTTAAACGGAGAGGAAACCTGAACTGGGCGGCTCAAGTGTTTTGATCTTCAGCTGAAAGATGAAACCAGCGCTGCAGTTCCTCTGACGTCCACTAGAGGCAGTGAGCCAGCCCCGATAGACTCCCGCCTCTGCAGCAGGTGGATGGCGACACAGGCGGCTGCTAGCTTCACCTGAACTGGACCTCTGGACCGTGTTTGTGCTTTCGGAGCCTTTTGGAGCCATGACATCATGTGACCAATAACATGGCTGCTGTGAGGTCACTGCACTTGGAGTCGTATCTGGTGAGCGAAATTCAAGGTTTTTACTTGGATGACACTTTGTTTTGCCACACCCTTACATGCAGTCTGCTAACCAGGCTAGCTCATGTAATCGCTTCCCCTTTGGCAGCCAGAACGGTAACATTAAGGCTTTGACATCAGAGTCCTTCTCAGGTTTGTGGCTTTCACTTCTTTCCAGGCGGTTTCAGATCAGGTCAGCCTGAGCTGATCTGAAACAGATCTGTCACGAGAACAGACACAATACTAAAACTCACAGAAAACTCAGGACTATGGTACAGTGTCTTTGTCTGTCTTTTATGTGCAGTCTTTGTCTGAACCAGTATTGTTTCAGAGGATTAAACAGACGAGCTCACACTTTTCAGACTTCAGACTGCGGTGGAGCGACGGAGGCTTTAACTGTAGCAGAGACAGACAGATCTAAGCTGCACTTCTCCACCCGGAGCCCGAGCTCAGCTGCACGCCGCCTGCCGCATTTCAGTCTGGGAATCCGGCTTTTTCAGACTTTTACATTAGTATGCTGATGAGATACGTCCACAGCACACAGGATATCTACACACTTGTCTTTTTACTGGTTATTTTTCTAAATACTTTTAAGCTTCCAGAAGTTTTACGTTCAGCTGATAGCAGACCTGTGATCGCTGAGACTGCATCAGCGTCTGGGCCTCTCAGGGAAATCGAATCCTCACACCTGTTATACACAACACAGCAGACCTGGAAGTGAAGCTGCAGGCTGTGCTTCAAACTCAAGACCACTGTGCTGACTGATACACTGCCTGTGTCTCCACCCACCTGTTTATCACGAGGCCACGCCCCTCATAATGCGAAGCCTTACAGTTTAAATGGATAGAGTTGTTACAAATGGTGAAATCAGCTACAGAGACCAGATGGTCTACGAGTCTACAGGCGCTGACTCACTTTTGGCGCCGCCCTCTAGTGACCATTAGAGGAACTGCAGTTTCTCGCACTTACGTGTGGTTGAGACGTTCAGCCCAGCTGGCCGTGAGTCACAGTATCCTTCACGCTATTGATCGAGCTGGTTTCAGTTAACTGAAATCCCCCACTTTGTCTTTGGCAGGTCAGATTTTCCACCACTAAAATATTATCAGACTGGAAAAGAATGAATTCCACGTGGAGGACGTAATCCCGACACGTGGCGCCCTCTCTGCTGCTCCGTCACGTCTGCCACGCACTCTTCAACAACATTTTTAATTTCAACATCACAGACTTGGTATCAAAGACTATCAGAAGATTATTTTTAACTACATGAACCTTTAAAAAAGTTTTCTGTGGTTTTCAGGCAGAGATCCAGTTTATCCATCCTTCATGACAAAGATCATCCTGATTGGCTCTCTGGGGTTCATGGAAAAGGAAATGCAGATGTTCGTGCGCCTGCGTCTGAATAATCTCTCGTCCTTTGTCTCTACTGCTTATGCACGTCCTCGTGCCGCAGTATCTTGTACAGGACCCAGTAGAATATGTTGAAGAAGAGGAAGGCCAGCGGGAAGCCGGCCCTCGACACAGTGTCAATCTTTTTGGCTCGGTCGATGAACAGCTTCCTCATCTCCTCCATGCTTTTACCCCCACTGGCTGCTGCAGGTGCATTCTGGGTAGCGTTCTGCGCCGTGGCTCCCGGCGTGTTCAGTGCACTCACGGCGTTGTTAGCGCTGGCCTTCGACTCCTTGCTGTTACTCGGGGTGGAGGTCACGGCGGCAGCAGGGGTCAGCCTGCTCTCATGTGCCCCCCCTTCCTGTTGGAGAGACGAGGAGGAAGAGGAGGAGCAAGGGGAGGAAGGGGTAGGGGGTCACGGATTATTTGTGAATCTGTTCACCGGTTTGGCCTCTGAGCGAGGCACCACACCTGACCGAAGCACAAAAACGAAGAAGCAAATGAATTCAGATTTCCTCGGGTTGGTGCTCGGAGCTACTTTCTCTACGTTCCTGTTTAAAACCTTCTGAAGCTGACCTACAGACAAACACCAGCTGTGAGGCATTAAAGAGAAACCAGCAGTGCAACGAGTCATTAAGAGTTTAGCTCAGAGTTTAAACTCTGCCCCCTGGTGGTGAAAGCTTTAGTTAAACTCTGCTGAGGAAATTACAAAAGGTATCTTTACACCTGCCGCGTGCTTTTGAATCAAATTTTAGGCAGAAATGTGACGACACTGAGCCGAGAAATGTTTGTATATGAGATCATAATAAGGATGAAGATGTTTTTGGGAGCCATTGATTCACAAAAATAATCTAAAGATTAGTTCAGGTGTTACAGCTGCGGTTTCAGTTAAATGTGCAGAGAGATGTCAGCCATCAGTAAACAGCTGTATGTATCCAAACCTTCCTGCCCTGCGTGAAAAATCACGAGGTCTGATTACTGCCAGGCCTGCTGCCATCACTAAAATAGACGAAGACCAACTGAAGCAGACTGAAAGATCTCAAACGGCAGCACGCCACGATCTCAAGAAGCAGCTGAGGAGCAAAGTCAGTGACATCATCAGCCTGAGAGGGTGACGGAGACATTTCTAAGGCTGTGGGACTCCAGCGACCCACGCTGAGAGCCTGGAAAACCATCGCCGACTCATCCAGGAGGTCACAGAAGAGCCCAGAACAACATCTATTAAGCTCAGCTAGGGTCAGAGGTCACGACTCAACGGTAAGAAAGAGGCGGGGCAAAGATGGGAGAGTCCAAGCAGAAACCACTGCTGACCAAGAAGATCACAAAGTCTCGTCGCACATCTGCCAACAAACATCTGGAGGATAATATTCTGAGGGCTGACGAGACAGAAGCTGAACTTTCTGGAAGCTTTGAGTCACGTGTGCATCAGACTAACCACGCAGGAACCAGCAGCTCCGCCTCTGATTGGCTCAAAGGGACAAAATAAAGGTTCTGGAGCGTCCGAGTCAAAGTCTGGACTTAAACCAGACTCAGATGCTTTGATGCTGGAAACCCTCCAGTGAGACAAACAGCAGGTATCAGGTTACACTCAGGACAGGCAGGTGTGGATACCTTTGTTCCCTTAATGAGTGACATCATCATTTAAAAACCATGCCTGTGTATAAACAGTGATGTCAGAGTCTGTGCTGGCGTCCTGTGATTTTTGTTCTTTGGCTCACAGACTTCCTGTCAGCTTACAGCATCCTCAGACTGTCCACACAGTCAGGCCGCTCTGCAGGCGGCCGGTGGGAGACAATGTCCCAGCCTCCAGCTGTTCATCATCACTGAGCGGCCGCGTGTTTGTCTGGACAAACCGACACATACTCTGTAAGCTGAAGACATTTCTGAGCACAGTTAAGCTCAGCTGCATTACCTTAAGCCCAGATATGACTTCTAAACTGAAAGAAAGGAGGCTGAAGTTTTACATGCTCACTCAAACTGTCCTGATCCAGATGTGCACTCATCTGGAAATATGTCATTAAAAACCACAGAAACAGTCACGACTCGCACACATCAGAGAAATACGTTTATGTTCGTGTCACCATTTTACTCCTTCAACACATTCTGTCTTATTTATGAAGCTGCTGTGTGAAAAGTGTCAGACTGATGGAGGAGGAGCTCCTGCAAGAGAAACATGCGCACAGACACACACACATGCAGCGTGGCATTACCCCGTGGTTGCTGGTGTAGATGTTGGTCATAGATCCGTACAGAGGCTCTGCCGCTTTGAGGCCGTCGTCAGTGTTAATACGACGAAGGGACTCGGCTAGCTCCTCTGGATCAACGGCACCTCCACTGATCTACCGACCGACAGCATGCACACGTCAACAGAAAGCAAAAGGAAGAACAAAAGAAAAAGAGCAGGCTGGGCCGCTCAGCCGTTCAGTCAACGCAGGGAAACGTTCAGCTGCTTGCACAGACGCACAGATAGGAACGCTGATGGATTTGCATCAGACGCTGTCTATGAGCTAAATCGACCGTAAAATGATTTTTTATGTGTTTTCTTTTCCAAAATTGTTTCCATGTGTGTTTGTTTTTATTTCATTGTGTTAAACAGTAAACTTAGTGTGTCTGCAGGTCTCTGTTCACATTCAGTCTTCAGACCCACAGGCTCAGCGTCTGTGCTTTCATCAGGACGTGTCAGTGACACGTTTGTGTTGGCGAGTTGACTGAATGCTGATCTTCCAGCCCGCCGAGGTCGTGATCACGCACCGAGCTCAGGCTCATCCGGGTTGGATGGCTGCAGAAACACAGAATCATCACACTGATGCGGTTACATGCTGCGTCATGCACCGATAAAGCGAGATGACTCAAACATGCGGAGCGAGAAGCACCGATTCCTCCACCACTTCCTCCTCCCTCTCCGGCCCAGCTCCAATCCGACCTGGCGCTCCACGCTGAGCTGGAAGCTCAAACGTCAGATGGAAGTGATAAATCCATTTCTGACATGCTCCCACATATCTCTGTCTTTCTATAAATTCTAATAAGAATAAAAATAACGAGTTAGCACATTTCAAAAGTGTTTCCATAGAAACAAACGAGATGTGTGTGCAGGTTTATACGTGACACACGTCTAAAGCTAATCCAGACTTTTATCCTGAAATCTTTCAGGGATTTTTCCACCCTGGGATGGGCCAAAAGTGTACTCATGACTTCTGCACAGATATATGAAAAATTTAAATAACAGAAGTTGGAAGAGATTTTTTCCTGGATGCAGCGAGTCAAAGTTTTCCTTAGTTTTCCTGAACTCTAAACATCGGACGAGGCTGAAAATTCCCACGATGAATGATTTGTGCTGCTGTCAGCGTTCCCCTCAGCCGGGGTGCTCAGCCTCAGCCTGGACGGCGTGGACCTGCGCTCCTCACAGTGAGCCGGATTGGATCTGGGCCTTTCTCACCTCGTGCCGTCTCTGAGCAGAACGCTGCAACAACAACGTGTCACCACACGGTGGCAGCCTCAGCCCAGAGCACACGAGTCACAGCGGTCCATCAGTCTGTGGATGCAGGTCACAAACTGTGTGTAGGTGTTCCTCACTCTGGATGGTGCTGCGTTCGCTGTGCTGTGCAGTGTGTGGGACTTTTCTGTACCTTGCTCTTATTCTTGTTGTGCCGTCTGAAGCGCAGCAGCTCTTTGTGTTGCCTCGACACAAAGTTAACGGCGGCGTACTCCAGCAGCGCAGAGAAGACGAACAGAAGACACACGGCCATCCAGATATCGATGGCCTTCACATAAGAGACCTGTAAACACACACACGCTTCATTCAGCAGGCTGGAGGCGCTCACCGTCAGTGGTTTAAGTTCACAGTGAGTCTCAAACGTAACTCCGACTGCACAGATGTTTCATTTTCTGCAATAATTATAGACTTTATTTCAGGGCTGCAGCTGTGTGTGTGTGTGTGTGTGTGTGTGTGTGTGTGTGTGTCTGAGTGCGCTGCTGTGACACCCGTGGTGTCAAGAAGATGTAACTGCCCTCCTTTATGAAACGATGACTTATTCAGACACATGTAACATACTGGAGTGCAAAGCTCTGTTAAGCACTGGAAACATGAGAAACCTCCTAACCTCCACACACACACACACACACACACACACACGCACGCACGCACACACGCACGCACACACACACAGCTGTTCGGCCTAGCCTTTGTGTGTGTACAGTATGTGAGGGAGGGATGAGTGTGCTGATGAGTTAATAAGGCTTATGTAACGAGCGCTCCGTGTCTGATTGTTTCTCATGCATACACGATACCAGAGCAGGATTGTGGGGCTTGTTCTCACTCACGCTCTGCCAGACGCATGATGTGTGGAATAAACAGACTTCGGTTTGTGCGTGCAAAACATCCGGTAAGATGGCGGAGGACAAAAACTCAGCAGCACGTCACCATGGTAACATCTGCCGCAGACCTAACCTGGTCCAAAGCAAACTCCAGATGAGACATTAACATGTATAAACCCCTGTCCAATCGACCAATCACATTCAAAACGTCCCTGGGTCACTGTGTGACCCCCGTGCCTGCAGGCTTTGTGTTGCTCTGCTTCACCAGCTGTCTCCAGAGTGGATGCAGGAGCTTTGTCTGGGCTGTGGTGGAAGCTGCTCTGAATTGTGAGGTTTTACATCATGAACAGCTGAGTGTGTGCTTTTGTTTTTCTGGGGTAGGAACGGCAGCACTTTGTGATGGAGATGTTACTCTGCTGCAGAGCAGCTACACCTCCACAATACCAACTGAAGTGCCAAGCTTCTGCAATGGCTGCACCTAAACCCCGCATGTCAGACTCCATTCAATCATTTAAAAACTCACCTGTTCCACCTAGCCTTTGAAGCAAACTAGTTCGGACTTCCACCCGGTCTGCATTTGTGCTATGTAACTGTAACTGTCACTGTAACTGTAACTAAACCTGTTTATTAACTGTTTTTGTTGCCATTCGTTGGAATCTGCCTTGTGTGAAGCACTTTCATGGACACTTCCCTTTTTAAATGTGCTGTAGAAATAAATACTGATTGAATAATTGAGAGTCTGTGATGGGAAGGAAAAAAAGATGGAATGGTTGGAAGGCTGAGTCTGCCGGAGAGAAGAGAAGACATGGATGCAGCATCACCTCTGCTGGACACGCAGCGGCGGCTGAGGACCGCCTACTGTGAACCGCGTCATCATTACAGCCTCACAACGAACAACACACACACACACACACACCTTAGGCAGTGAGGTCCTGGAGCCTGAGCTCTGCGTCGTCATGGTGAGGACGGTGGTGATGCCCAGGGCCACGCGGGCCGGTGCGGCGTCCATGTTGATCCAGAAGGAGACCCAGGACAGGATGACGATGAGCAGGGAGGGGATGTACATCTGGATCAGGTAGTAGCCCATCTGACGCTCCAGGTGGAAGCGCACCTCGATGCAGGTGAACTTTCCTGTGACAAAGGAGCGACAGTCACAAACCTGCAGACAGGAAAACTTCAACATAGGCTTTGGCATGAGCGACGGGGGCGAGAGGATACTCCCACCTCGTAGCCGACTCGCTAGCAGCATGGCCGCTTCACCTGTCCCTCGGCCTCCTTTAGCAGTAATGATACTTGTAACATATGTGTACCTGGGGCTTCTGTTTAAGACACCACCAACTTGTTCATGTGTCTAACCGCTTTTACCCACTCGGCGACACACCCGCCGCGGGTCAAACTCTGACTCTGTTCTGCCAAAACAATGTGGGACTCTGTAGTTTTCTCTGGCCCCCTCCCCAATCAGACCAGGAGTGACATGTTTAGCCGCATGTTCTCCTTAAACTGCTGGCTGTCTGAGTGGTGTCCCAGAAACGATGTGGGCTTCATAGATAATTGGCAAACCTTCTGGAGGAAACCTGGTCTTGTTAGGAGAGACGGCATCCATCCCACTTTGGATGGAGCAGCTCTCATTTCTAGAAACATGGACAAATTTATTAAACCCCCCAAAATATGACTATCCAGAGTTGGGACCAGGAAGCAGAGCTGCAGTCTTACACGCCTCTCTGCAGCTTCTCTCCTCCTGCTACCCCCCAAAAACCCATCTCCATAGAGACTGTGTCAGCTCCCAAACAGACAAAAAACAAACTAAAAACCAGCAACAAACAACTTAAACATAAACCATCACAAAGAAAGAACAATACAGTATCCACATCTGAACCAAAGAGTAACACAGTGAAATGTGGATTATTAAATATCAGGTCTCTCTCCTCCAAGTCTCTGTTAGTACATGACTTAATAATTGATCAACAAATCGATTTACTCGATTAGCCTGCACTTCGCTCTCGCTCTGCAGGCCTACTTGTTGTTCCTAGAGTATTTAAAGTAGAATGGGAGGCAGAGCCTTCAGTTTTCAGGCCCCTCTTCTGTGGAACCAGCTTCCAGTTTGGATTCAGGAGACAGACACTATCTCTACTTTCAAGATTAGGCTTCAAACTTTCCTTTTTGCTAAAGCATATAGTTAGGGCTGGAGCAGGTGACCCTGAATCCTCCCTTAGTTATGCTGCAATAGACGTAGGCTGCCGGGGATTCCCATGATGCATTGAGTTTTTCCTTTCCAGTCACCTTTCTCATTCACTATGTATTAACAGACCTCTCTGCATTGAATCATATCTGTTATTAACCTCTGTCTCTCTTCCACAGCATGTCTTTATCCTGTCTTCCTTCTCTCACCCCAACCAATCACAGCAGATGGCCCCGCCCCTCCCTGAGCCTGGTTCTGCCGGAGGTTTCTTCCTGTTAAAAGGGAGTTTTTCCTTCCCACTGTCGCCAAAGTGATTGCTCATAGGGGGTCATATGATTGTTGGGTTTTTCTCTGTATGTGTTATTGTAGGGTCGACCTTACAGCATAAAGCTCCTAGAGGTGACTGTTGTTGTGATTTGGCGCTGTGTAAATAAAGCTGAATTGAATTGAACTCGTATAGTAAACTTCCAAATTTTGGTCCCTACAAACATATGTGTACACACACACACACACACACGCACACACACGCACGCGCGCGCACACACACACACACACACACACGCACACGCACGCACACACACACACACACACACACGCACACACACACACACACGCACGCACACACACGCACACACACACACACACACACACTACATCCATGTCTGGTCAGGACCTGCTTTGTCAGTCGGTTTGTTTCTCCCTCACTTTGTTTTTCGACTCGATCCTTGGAGCACAAACGTGACGGATGAAACGTGGCAACCGTTTCATTGTGTGTGCATCTTACCTGCATCCTGATGCTTACGGCAGTGTGTGTGTGTTACCTGTGTTGTAGTGCTTGGTGCAGTATCGGAGGTCTGATTCATCTTTGAGGATGAACTGTGGGAGCGTGAGGCCGTCGGCCACTTGAACAGGTCCGTTCTCCTGCCACTCAAAGATCAGGTCGTTCATGGTGTAGCCGACTGAAACACAGAAATTATGAGAGACAAAAGATTTAAAAAAGGCCACAGAGCACAAGTCTGTGTGTAGTTTGACCATCTTTTGTTCAGATTGTGTCGACTTGTGTTCGCACTCTTGTGTCTGCAGACTGTCGGTGTTTCAGGGCAGCAGGCACGTTTTCCTTCCTCGTGGGGCCCGCACTACGACAGATGCTGAACACACCCAGGGTCTCCATTTATGCAGCTTCAGTGTTTTTAATGTTTTTATTGTTTTTAAATGTGCATCTCTGTGTCGGCATCGTTTCCTCGGTGGTCCTCGGTCTCTGTGTTTCAGCATCACTGTGTTTTTGGTTATTTCCTATTTTATTTTGAAGGGTACTTTTCTCTCGTGTCTTGTTCTGATTTTTCCCCCTTTGTGACCGTCTGCTGTGTTTTCACCTGTGTCGGCTCACCTGTGCCTCACATGGTAACTGGCCTGGTTCTTGCTCTGTACAACATGCCTCATTTACACGAGCACGATGATTCGTAAATCTCAGATTTTTTCACAACCCAACATAAAAAAAACATCAAATGTTTAAAGTGAAAAAACTATGAGCTCATTTTGAGTTTGGGGGCAGCAACACGTCTCTAAAAGATCTGCAGGGCTGCAACAAGAAGCTGGAAAAGTAGTTTGGACGAGAAAGAAAAAGCTGGAGGAACACTGAGCTGCTAATCAGGCTGTCAGCAGGTCAGTCACATGATCGGGTATAAAAAGAGCGTCTCAGAGGGCCAGAAGTTCTCAGAAACTGCATCCACAAACTGGTTTTCAGAACGATGCTCCTCACTGTGAACATCTCATCGTCATCATGTGGAGGAATCTCTGTGCGCAGAGAAGAAGCCAGATGTGACCGGCGCCATCTCCTCTGGACCAAAGCTCCTTTAAAATTGATCTGAGGTCAGACTCATCCAAACATGGACGCCGCATCCTCGGACTGAAGAGGAGAGCATCCAGCTCATTATCAGCGCTCAGGTCAACGCCTGCAGCTCTGATGTTTAGGGGGCGTGCCTGTGGGACTCACAGCTGGCACATCTGGATACCAAAAAAAGGAGGAAGCAGAGCGAGGACTGCTGAGCTGTGAAAGTCCAGCAGCTGCTCTCCGCAGCTCGCAGACGCTCTCAGACTGATGTTCGAGGACGACGTTTGCAGATCGCTGCAGCCTGTTTTTGTGTCAGCCCTGATTTCCAGCTCTGTTTAGCTTCCTTAGTTTTCCCATCTTTAGGACTCGTGCATCTCATTGGTGCGTCCCGTCCTCAGCACACAGGACACTGGATGTTTTTAGATAGAGCTCACGGCCAAACGCACCACCAGCACAGATATCACCACACACATCAGAGAGGCACTGCAACGTGCCCGAGGACGGGCCAGAGATGGCTGGATGATGCAGGAGGCTTGATGTTAATGCAAACAGATGCCGTGATATTATTCTTGTTTTCACACATGCGTCTTATATCCAGCTTTCAGTGGCCCCTCTTCTTCTGTGTCCGGGTGAAGGCAGAGGGAGAGCGGAAGCCACGTATGAATGCGTGCAGTCGGAGCGCTGCGGGGCTCTTCGGCGAGCGCAGGAAGCAGCTGGTATGTGCTGGTGCAAGCCTGCAGCCATGCACAGAAAGAATGAGTTCATCCTGCTTCTTAAGCTTCGGCTGAAAGTGCGTGAAAAGTGTTTGCATGTTAAAAAAGAGAAAAACAGAGGAGGCCTGCAGCCTTCCACACGAGCATCTGTGCTCGGCTCGGGATGCTTTTAAATCTTACAACGGCCTCCGGTGGCAGCGGCGGCCGTGACTGTCGACTCGCTGCACTTACAAGCTCGGCTGGTCCCGGACGCGACCTGAACAGGGTCAGGCTGCAACCACAGCCTCCAATTATGTTTCACGGAACGAGACATAAACCTGGACCGAGGACTTTCTGTCCTCGAACACGGACCACGTCACGACTCATTTCCTCTGCATGCCAGTATGTCCTGATGCGTCCTTATGGTTCGTCTGACATCAGGGAGCAGCAATGCAAATAATCTGTGCGTGTCTGTGTGTGCGTGTGCTTACGTCTCAGTGTGTGTGTGTTTCTATGTGTGTGTATGTGGGTCAGAGAGGACTGGAACTACCAGTGAAGATGAATAAGCTCTTCGAGGGCTGTGTCCCTGAGGCCAGGCCTCTGATTGGGCAGACGATGGATTCGTCATCATAACTGTATCAACATCATTAAACACGACTGCTTCCTTAAAAAGATATGCTGCTAAAATATGTTCCCATGGAGGGAGACTAAATATACTTCAGGCTGGATGAATGAATCTCTTCTTCATCCAGCTTTCTGGAGCATCATCCGCACGACATCAACAGATTCTGAAATCATGGTATTGTTTGCAGCACGGACTTCCTGCGTGTGCAGGCAGCACACGTCTGAACAGAAGCAGCGTGCTACATATTCAGAGTCACGCACCGAGCCTCTGTGGGTGCGGAGACGGATCGGAGGAGACGTATCGCTGGGATATGGAATATACATGTTCACGCGGAGCAGAAACACGACAGGCGGCGGCGGCGGGCGGGGGGCTGCTGTATGTTTAAGCACACAGCTTTAACCCGAGGAACTTCCCTCTCCATGACAGAAGTCTTAATCCACACTCGGGCTGCTTTTATCTGTCTGTGAGGGGGGGGGATTTAAACATTATCTACACGGATCAGAGTTTTAATCTCATTCTGAGCCTCGCTGGGAATGACTGCCGCTGTAATTAGCTCCTGTCTATCTCTGCAAATTCACAGCGGCCCAGAGCCGCAGCCTCTGAAGCATCTCCCATCAGCTGGTCAGAAAGTTTAGCTGATCCAGCCGCAGCACACGTCTGCTTCAGAATCAAGGCGACGGCCGACAGGAGAGCAGACCCTGCTAACAGCTCCCCAAATGGCTCTTTAAATGTCAGCTGCATTTTGGCTCATGGTCCATTTAAGGTGGACTGTGACCAAGTAGAAACCCATCCCATCACGGACGCTGTGTCCTCTGGACTGAGGATGAGGAACCATCTGGCTTACTGTCAGTTCAAAGATGGTCCTCCAGATGGTAAAGAGGGAGGGGTGCAGTAGTCCACATGGCAGGGGGAACTTGTTCATCCATGGAGCAAACAGGCTCTTTAAATGTCAGCTGCATTCTGGCACCAAGAAAGCGATCTGTTAGTGTTTTCCTGTATTCGTGTAGGGATTCATCTCCCACCGAGGAAACCTTCAAAATGTGTCGCAGGCGAGTTCAGAGTTTGTTCTGTGGACGTGTGAGGGTTGGTGTGACACAGGAGGATGCTGGGATAGAGAGAGAGATGCAGGCAGGTGAAGAAGAAGCATCTCCGCGTACGTATGAACACACGTGTGGCAGAACGACACGGCTTGTCAGCTGCAGTTTGGCTGCTGATGTGAAGACGAGGACTCTGTTTTCCCAGGTGTGCCTGAAGGAGTCGCGGGGCACAGCTGCAACAACGAGCTTGACTTGGAGTCAAAGACCCCGCCCCATCACCAGCCGCCCTGTCGTGTTGTGACCATAAATTTTAAATGTTCACATGTGACCGAGTCGCAGCTCCTCGATGATGCATCCTTCTCTGCACCTTGACCATAACATTGCATCTCCTGCAGTTTTGCATTGACGGTGGATATTTAACTGCCCTTCTAATTGTTGGTGGTGTAGTGGTTAGCACATTTACCCGGCAAGCTCAAGTCACCGGTTTGATTCCAGGTAGTGACACTAATCGCATCAGATGTAAAAACGCTGCCAAACCAAAAATCTGGAGCTGAAAAGAGCTTCTTTGTAATTAAGAACGGAGCTCAATGGCTCACAGCCTGAATGAAAGGTGTTTCTTAACCCTTTAACCCAGGGGTGTCCAACTCCAGGCCTTGAGGGCCGGTGTCCAACTCCAGGCCTCGAGGGCCGGTGTCCTGCAGGTTTTAGATGTGTCCGTGATCCAACACAGCTGATTTAAACGGCTAAATGACCTCCTCAACATGTCTTGAAGTTCTCCAGAGGCCTGGTAATGAACTAATCATGTGATTCAGGTGTGAAGACCCAGGGTGAGATCTAAAACCTGCAGGACACCGGCCCTCGAGGCCTGGAGTTACCCACGCCTGCTTGAAACCCTTTCCGTCACCGGCGACAGGTTAGGGTTTAAAGGGTTAAAGACACACTGTACATCGTTCATACTGAAAGTGCTGCGAGTGTGTACAGTCATGCAGTACTTACAGCTCTCCAGCTGCATGATGCACGTCTGAACGTCCATCGGGAAGTTTTTTAGATCCATGGGACACGACAGAGTTAACGTTAGCCTGAAAAGAAAGAGAGGAGACACTGAAGACCGAGACCGTGGGTTCAAAGTCACAGACATCGTAACATGTCAGTTTATATCAATGTGCCACCTGCACTGTTGGAACCAAGAGGATACCCGATAATATCAGACTTTATACATCAAAATATTCAGAAACGAGATCCCACTCTGACAAACTTACAGAACCACTGTCAGCATCTAATGTTTAAATCCTAAAGCAGGCACATGAAGACCTTCTCTCTTTGACTCACGATGGACATAAAAAGTTCCACTAAACCCAAAAATGAAGAATAAATGTTTAATCGGAGCTCATATTATAACATTTGCAAGTCAGATTAGTCAAATGAATAAATGCGGTCCAGTGTTTAAACGCGACGAGCTAGCAGTGAGAAAACAGTGTGAGGCCAGAGGACATGTGGCGAGGCAGCAGCGAGCTCAAATCAGAACATTTCTGAAGATCAGCCTAAAACTGCTCCAAAGTTTGGACCTGTTCATTAACTAACCTGTAAAGCACTTTACTTTCACATATCAAAGACTTACATTTAGCACCATGAAGTCTGAGGCGATGGACTTAAACCCAACAACAGGAAGATATTCTAAACATTTTTATATCAGTGACCTGATTAAATAGACACGACTGCAGACGTGCATATATTCATTCTGCAGATGCGTCTTCCTCGGTATCTCAGAGTTCGCTACGTGCCTCTGGCTATGAAAGCATGCATGCATGTATGTACACTGCACACGGATCCTTGGTTTCACGCATAAAGGAGCTTGTACCTTCAAATTACAGGAAATAAACAGAAGTCAGAGTGACATGACTCCATGTGTCACGAAGGTTTTTCTTAACCGTGCTGCTGCTCACCTTATAGAGTACAAAACATTGCCGTTCTTGAATATCCTGAGCAGTTTGTTGTCTGTGGTGACTTCGTGGAAGTGGGCTCCCTTCTCGTTGGCGAAGAACAGATCCGGTTTCCATATGGAGTCTAACATAGAGGGATCCAGGTCCAAAGAGTCATCGGGGTATTCGGAATACGCCAGCCTGGGATCGTTCCACTGCTGACGGAGGAAGATGTTCACTCGGTAGTCCTGCAGACACACAACATAACACGACTAAGTCACACATAGAGAAGCACATGCGACTGTCAGAAACGTAAAAATAAATAACCACAGAGATCATTTACACGAGAACAGGAGGAGAAACTATACAGTTGTCCCTCGTGACCACGTGGAAACCATCCTGTGGCCTGACTGACTGGAAATCAAGGATACCGCGTTCTCCAGACTGATGAGGAGGCGAACATCCAGCTTGTTATCAGGTCAAAGATAACAAGGAAGACGTTAGTCCACGTCCACGAAGCCCCATCAAAGCTCTGATGTTCTGAAGGCAGCTGATGGAATCTTTTTTCAGCGAGAGACTCAAATCCAACAGCGAGTGAGTCTATAGAGTCTAAACTGGCCTGCAGTGCAGACCTTTCACACACTGACGTGTTAGGGAATGAAAAGCATGACAAAGGAGGCCCTGCATATTGTTGCATTTCCCCTGACACACAGATATGCATGCTCGTGTTGTCTGAACAGGACAAGTTCCCTGAACATGTTCTCACAGGGCGGATATAAATTGGGCTACGTGTCGTTTCACAGAAGTCCTGGAACCTGATTCGTATACTCAATCACTGAACCCGTCATATTTTTATCCTGACTGAAAGGCTTGAGGTGTACACAGATGAGACAGAGGCCTGTAATCAATTATAGACCTGTGCATCAGCTGTGCTGGAGGATAGCGTGATGCAAACATGTCAGTGAACACGTGTTCATGCACAGGCACACCTTATAGGCGGCTGACGCCTCGTTACTCCCATCAGTATACGCAGGCATGAGCGTGCAGCAATGTGACTGCTTCAGCCTTGAAGGGTCCTCGAGGCGACTCCTTTCTTACAGCTCAGTCGAAGCGCAAAAACAGCAGCAGCAACAAGTTATATTTTTAATGCTTTGGACAGGAAGTAGCGTTGCCCTGTTTGCTGCTGTGAAGACTCAGAGATGATAGTTGGAGTGACTACAGGGGCCACAGCTTGGTTCAGTGTGTTTGTACAGATGGATGTAAATCAAGTTCCTGTAAGGAATCCCACAAGGCTCAATTTTAGGCCCTGTTTTATTTCCATGTCTACAGCTAAAGTGCACCTTTAAACAGATGGCGCCACACTCGACTGGGCTCCAGCCAGCCTACCTAGAGATGAAAGAAGTAAAAGTAAATGAAAAATGGTCTTTGAAGGAACGGTGAAAAGAATGGGCAAATTCATCAAGTCAAACCATCACATCCTTTACTCTGTGACTCACAAACTCTTATGTGACATCGTTAATCTTCCAGAGACATCTGATCACAGCAGGGATCCCATGGAAGCATTAAAAATATATAAGATAACTAATTCATTATCAACAACCATATTTCTTGGGTTGGGTATCAACACCAACAACGACTGCATCAGGCAATATAAAAGAAGGAGCTGGGGTGGACGTGGGTTGCAAAGTGGCTTGCAGGGAGGTGTGCAGCAGCTTTGGAGAGGCTAAAGCAGTTTGGTCAATCTGATATCCTTGTGTCAGTGTTGTTTATGCACCAACATTGGATCTGACCAATCACCTGCAGATGTCCACTCAGGAAAGAAAATCTAACAAAGAGGGTGGTTAGGGTGTGACTGTGTTTCCATGTCCCAGAACTATGGCATCACTACAGTGTGATTGGTCACTTTAACCTGGACCAACATCAGTGATGATGATCCAGGAACAACACCAACACGACGACATCAGATCAAGTTGTTCAGCTGAGCACTCAGATCAGCTGATCTGCTGGGATAACAGCTGGAGACCCCACAGGGGAGTTTGCATGACTCAGCAGGATCCTTCCTCTTTTCCTAAGGACGCAGTTTAGTGAAGGAACCAGCTCCATTTGTCTGTTGGAGGATTTTTTTGGAAGGTTTAACGCTCCACGAGGATAAGAGCAGCACAGCCATCTGCAGGAAACACGACTGTTTGGTCCCTCGATGGTGAAGCGAGTGCCCCGATGACACTATCACTCCAATGCACGACAGCTCCATAGAAAATTCCCAGAATGCACTGTAAAAGGCAGTGAGCATCACCGCTCGCCGTGCTCACTGAGTGGAAGTGACATCACTGCTCTTCCACTTCAGCAGAGCTCGGGCGGAGCTGGAGTCGCTGTGCAGCGAGCGCACATGTGGCTGATGAAACTAACTCAAGCAGCGTCGATGCTTCTGAACGCGCTGCTTTTATTTCACGAGCTGCGACTTCTCCTCAGACGTGTCGCAGGGCCCAAACCCACAACAGCCCTGCCACAGCTTCAGCTTAGACATTTCAGATCGTTGTGTAGCCTACCGACATACAACAGGAGGGCAAGGTGCACCTAAGTGAAACCCAGATCAGACCCCCACTGTAGGACAGCAGAGTAAGAAGGTGGATAAAAGTGGAGCGAGGGCAGAGCTGTGCGGATATTACATTTCACAGGTGACTTATTCTGCACCGCTGCATCACATTTGCAGTCGTAGGAGAGCGAACGTCATGATCACGGCTCCCAGGGAGTCATGTTGCAGATTCATTGGTGTCTCAGCGCTCACTGACGCAGGACTCAGGAAATACTATTCACTGTGCAGCGATGCAGTGGCTGACCCGGGGCGATCCTGCACGCTCTCACACTCCTGATCTCTGCTGGCAGCCAGAGAGTCCTGCATCTGTTCAGCTATCAATTATTTTAGCTTTCACGCAGTATTTGCACCATGCGTGAAACACAGAACCTTTCTTTCATAGTCCTGTTTCAAAATCCTTCCCGGTACACACTCGCCCCATGCTTTAAGTATTTGCTGCAGTCTAATGAAGGAGAGGGGAGGGTAAACAAATGCAACACATTAGTTTGAGTTTGCATTTTTTTAAATGCTTCAAAACGGATCAAATAATGAGCAGTACACAGCAAATTCAAAAGTGTTAAATGTTTTGGTGTTAATAGTCTTCTTGCAAAGGTAGAGTTAATTTTACTCTAAGCAGAGTCACATTCTTTTAATGTAACTCTGAGGTGTAAAATGATAGTAGTTAAAATCGAGTGTTAAAAATGAGTGTTTCTCTGTCAAATCTGGAGGTGTTACAATGGAAACATTAACCCCTGACCTCTTAACTCTGAACTCCTACAGGGGCTATGACACCAACAAAGTAAATTCACAGACTCCGCCCCCAGCACGGCTCCAATCGAAGCTGAAGTGAAGCCGTTTCGGAACATTTTGCTCTACATATTTGAGTTGTTTGCCATGCTTGGGTAAGTCACTTTTTCAAAGATTATTTCAATTATTATCATGAGCTTTTACTTCTGTGGCTCTTTGGAGTTGAGACAAAGCTGTGTGAAAGGCATTAGCCATGTTGCTCGCTGATAGCATAATATTCTGTTTTAGCTAGCTGAAAGGTATTGTTTGCGGGCAAATACCACAGCCTTGAAAAAAAGCTTGCATGTGAATTTTCAGTCAAACTTTTGGTCAAATACGCCTAAAACAATGTGTAGAATGTGAAACGTTGGTATAATGGTGCTGCTTGAAGCCTGAAAACGATCGCCCATAAAAAAAAACGAGCAAACAGCAGTAGCTGGCGTCCTGACTGGATTCTACGTTAGCATAGATCCCTCCAGAGTTTTGTGCACACGGTTTAGGTAAAAATGAAAAAGGTTGAGGTTTTACATTTAGTTCAGTATTACCTGTTGCCTGTGTCTTTGTCTTTTGGGAAAATACTTTACACAAGTAATGGCTCAAAGAGGATTCCTTTTTTTTGCTGTGCTGCAATTGATTACCGGATTATTTGTGCCATTAATTAGTGTCAACTAATTTTTATTCAATCTCCGCACAGGATATGCTTGTGAAGATGGAATATGGGGGAGAGCAGAAGTGCGTTGAAGTTCCACAGAGGGATGAATGAAGGACATGCATATTGTATTGAAGAAATAAGTGATGAGAATGCTGTTATTTGCATTTACCATGTCAGACCTTCTGATAAACACAATTCTAATGAAAGTGAGACCATGTATACTGTTACATCTTTCAGAAAATGTTTTGAAATTGTGGTGCACAGTTCAGAATAAAAGTTTTTCAAAAACCATTGCGTCTTTTTAGTAAATGTTTATTTCCAAAAGAAATTTCTAGAAGTTCAGAACAGTAAAATTCCTGCTTTTTAGAATGAATTAGAAGATAACTCTTACGTGGTTAAACTAAAATACTCTTTGAGAGTTAATATATAAACTCTTAACACCAAGTGTTAAATTATCAACTCCAGACAGATTTGGTGTTTAACACTAAATCAGAGTTAACGTACCAACTCTCCAAAAAGAGTTAAATTAACACTCTCTGGTGTGGACCCATATAGACACTTTAATAGTGTTGAAGTCAAATCCGACAGTGTTAATTTGGACATGCTGGATTTGCTGTGTAGTAGTGTTAGTCCGCTGTAAATGTGTCGGCTGTTGTCACGAATCACAGGAAAATTCTCAGAGGACGTCGTTCTCATCGCGTGTTTAAGCTCACTGCTTTGGTTTCTCTGAGACTGAAATGTGCAAACATACATGGAAATGCAGCAAATCAGGCAAAAGCAGTGTGTGTCTAAGTCTAACGAGCTGTAAAGTGAGCGTTTGGTGTGAACACCTTTATCCTTCAGCACAGACTGAACTCTGAGTATCTCCAGGAAAAGTTCTTCAGGCTTCTTGAAGGACATTCAAAGCATTTCTTTAGGTGTTCCTGCCTTTAGCGCTGCTGCTCCAGCACCACCTCTGGTCCCAGAGCTCCGTCCACAGTCCTTGCTTCAGATATTTAAGAAATGTGGTGCGATCGGCTAATAATTCAAACATTTTAAAACCAATAATCCTGGGCATATTTAAAAGGACAAAGCACATGTGCTCCCTTTGTCCACACAGTCATCTGTCTGCGACAGCAGGGAGCTGCTCTGAGTGAAATCTTCACCCAACCAACAGGTAACAGAAGCTACGTCCACCCGTCCACCTCTGCAGCCAGCACACCCACTGGAAACGCATGCTTAAGATAAGCTGTGGGTGT